GCGGTCCCTTTAAGAGAAGAATCTCTTGGGACCTGCAGTCCCAACCGACCCCAGTTTTAACCGAAACCCAACCCGGACTTCCCCCTCTTGACTCAAATAAGACCAATTTTGGATTTTCCCTCCCCTATTGACCAATCAGATTCTGTTACCAGGCAGACTTCAGCGGCCGCCGGTACGAGCCCGGCGCCTTCTGTCTCCGGGGTGGCAGCAGTGACCAATGACAGAGCAGGCCGCCCGTGTATCTAGGCAGATCGCGGCTGTTACAACCATTCAGAAAAAAGAAAATAAAGCAACGCACGAGCCGGCTGGGCCAGGACCTTGGGGCTGGGCCGGAGTGGAGGTGGCTACGAGGTAGTTTCTCTTTCTCCCTTACCTTTATTGTTGCTTGTGTTGGAAGGCGACTGTTCAGAGGTAGGGAGGGGGCAAGATGAGTTGGGAGGAGAGCAGAAAAAGACTGTAGCTGTATTTTCAACAGCTTCTTCACCCATGTGCACGTGCCCGGAATCTGGGACCCCATTCCCCTGCCGGGTTTCTGACGCCCAGCCCATGAGTTCCGCTACCCCGCCCCACCCCCCCTCCACTTTGCAGAAACCGGGGATTGAATGGAGGGGGAAGGGAAGGAGGTGGGGGCGCGCCTCAGGATGGGCTGTTGTGGGAGATGACGTAGGGACCGGCGACGTGGGGAGGGGGAGCAGCGGGGGAAGTCGTGGAGAGATTAAGTAATGAGAACTTGGGCCCAGTTTTTTTTCCAAGCCTAGAAAGGCAGAATATGTTCGTATCCTTTCTGACCTCCCAAGCATATGCAATGGTGAGGAGTATTTTTGAGAATTAGAGAACTTTGTTTTGTGGCTGTTATTGTTGTTTTTGAGGGGGAGGAGGGCAGTATGGGGTCAGAGGCAGAAATGAAAATTTCTTGCTAACATGGATTCCCAATCCCCCTATCTCTTCCTTTACAGTTTTCCAGATTTAGGAGACTTCAAAAAGGTGGGGCAGATAGAATGGAGATGGCAAAGATCTCTTTGGGTATATATGGGCCTGGCGAAGTAATGGAATAATTTCTAACTTTCGGAGAAGGCAAGTGGTGAGAAAAAGACCACTGGGGAAATTCGGAGGCTTTGTTTCTGTTTCTCTGCCTTTCTGGGTAAAGAGATGAGGAGTGCCCTGGGGCCTTCAAGGGAAGGGAAGGCCAGTGTGAGTTACATCTTTATGCCTGTCCCTCTCAATTCTAGCCCTCATGCCGGGATGGCAGAAGATGAGCCTGATGCTAAGAGCCCCAAGACTGGGGGAAGGCCCCCTCCAGGTGGTGCTGAGGCTGGGGAACCTACCACCCTTCTTCAAAGGCTCCGAGGTACCATTTCGTAAGTACTGATCACATCTCCAAATCCTGTCCAAGACCTGAGTATAGATCCCTGCAGCACTTCACTTTGGCTGTAGATGAACTGCCTCTCAGCAAGGGCACGGGAGCAGAGGGAGATTCTTGGCCATGGTAGCAATGCTTGAGCACCTGCTGGGCATTTCAGCCCTTTTCCCTCCTTAGCAATCAGATAAAGAGAGGGAGAAAACCTCGTGTGTGACCTCCAGCTTTCTCCTATTCCCCACAGCAAGGCCGTGCAGAACAAAGTAGAGGGAATACTGGTAAGTGTGTTGGGGAAGAGGGCAATAGAGGGATGGAAATGCTGAGGGAGGAGGATGTGAGGATGATGGGCATCAACGAAATATTGATGTGGGAGAGGTAGGGTCTATCTTGTCAGAAGATCCTTGGCTTTGCAAACTTGCTGCCAGTTTGACTTTGTGCCTCTCACTTGATCTCTGTGAGCGCTTGTGTAGAAGCCCAGCAGAGATAAATTCAGAGCTGATCTCCTCTACTCCCCTCCTCGCTGTGGTAGCCTACAGGGCCCCTCAGAGCACCTAGTGTCAAATAATTTTTTTTTTTTTTCTCGAGACGGAGTCTCGCTCTGTGGTCCAGGATGGAGTGCAGTGGTGCAATCTCAGCTCACTGCAAGCTCCACCTCCCGGGTTCATGCCATTCTCCTGTCTCAGCCTCCCCAGTAGCTGGGACTACAGGCGCCCGTCACCACGCCCGGCTAATTTTTTTTGTATTTTTAGTAGAGACGGGATTTCACGGTATTAGCCAGGATGGTCTCGATCTCCTGACCTCGTGAACCGCCTGCCTTGGCCTCCCAAAGTGCTGGGATTATAGGCGTGAGTCACCGCGCCCAGCCTTATCAAATAATTTCTAAGGTCTTTTTTCAGTCTGACACCCTCTAAGTCAGCTAGACTTTGGGGTGGGAATCAGAGGGTCCTACATTGGGTCCTTCTTGGCCTTATTATTTCTCCTGCCTCTGTTTTGTCCTACCTCAGCAAGATGTACAGAAATTTTCTGACAATGACAAGCTGTATCTCTACCTTCAGCTCCCCTCAGGACCCAGCACTGGAGACAAAAGGTAGGTATGATGGTAGTTTTAGATGACAGAGGTTCTGATTCTTAGAGAAAGGTTCACTGGGAAGGGGTGAGGTAAATAGGAAGACTCGTAACTGCTGTCCTTGATGAAGAGGTAAGGTCCCCACCCTGACTTGGTTTACCAGGGAAAGGTAGATTCTGGGTGAACTACTTTGGTCCAGCACTACTGAAGTGGTAGTTTGGGAAGAACCAGGACAACTGTTAGGGTCTTAGTAATGCTTGTTCCTTTTGTTTCTGTAGCTCAGAGCCAAGTACACTGAGCAATGAGGAGTACATGTATGCCTATAGGTGGATCCGCAACCACCTGGAAGAGCACACTGACACCTGTCTGCCAAAGCAAAGTGTTTATGATGCCTATCGGTGGGTGGAAGGGTGGGTGGTGGGGTGAGTGGATTGGTTGGCATAGGACCCCCTCACCCATGAAGAGCTTCCTGCCTTGATTAAAGCCTGCCTTCTTAAAGGGTTCCTCACACTTGATCCCTAGGGACCCTTCGAGCCTACCCATGGCCTCCTTCTCTGAGTATGTTCCCACTCTGCTCCCCTCTCACTCAGGAAGTACTGTGAGAGTCTCGCCTGTTGCCGCCCACTCAGCACAGCCAACTTTGGCAAGATCATCAGAGAGATCTTCCCTGACATCAAAGCTCGAAGGCTTGGTGGCCGGGGCCAGTCCAAGTATCCTTGACTAGAGAGGTTGGGGGTGGAGGACCTGGGAGGAAGACTTAGGATGTGGAGACCCAGGAGTGGAACAGCTTAACTTGCTCAAGGGGTTTGGAGATTGCCATGTGTTGGCTGCTCTTTAACTTGCATCAGATATTGCTACAGTGGCATACGAAGGAAGACCTTGGTGTCTATGCCACCCCTGCCTGGACTTGACCTAAAGGGTTCTGAGAGTGTAAGTACCAAATCACCCTCCAATTCTACTCTTCTCTCCCAGGTAAAAGGCAGAGGTCTTTGGGGCATGTTTTGAGGGCTAACAGCCTCAGTCATTATGTACGTAGCTTCTAGGTATGATGTTCCCTTCTGCCAACCCTGCAGCTGAGGCAGAGGATGAAGAGAACTTGTGGGCTTCTGCAGTGGGATAGGTAGAGGCTACTCCTGTCCCCAGTCTGGTCTCAGCTTTGGTCAACAGTCTTTGGTCACTTCAAGAGAGGGGACAAGGGTTATTTAATTTGGAGAGTGATTGGGCATGTCCTTCCCCACTTCAGCCAGAAATGGGCCCAGAAGTAACCCCAGCACCTCGAGATGAACTGGTGGAGGCAGCCTGTGCCCTGACGTGTGACTGGGCAGAGCGGATCCTGAAACGGTCCTTCAGTTCCATCGTTGAGGTCGCCCGCTTCCTGCTACAGCAGCATCTCATCTCTGCCCGATCTGCACATGCCCATGTGCTTAAGGCCATGGGGCTTGCTGGTGGGTGGACCCTCTCTTATGTCTCAGCAACCCTGACCCACTTTCAGCTTCAGTGACCCTCCCACACACATAATAGAGACACCTTGGATTTGCCCTCTCTTCCTGGAGACCCTTCTAAGACATGCTTTAGCACCCCATTTCTTGTCTTTACCAGTCAGTGAATCAGAATTGCCTCACTCCCCTATTCCTCAGTTTCTTCCTCACCTTCACTCTATTACCTTTTTGGCACCTCTGCAGAAGAGGATGAACATGCACCTCGGGAACGGTCGTCTAAACCAAAGAATGGTGTAGAGAACCCAGAGGGTTCACAAGCCCACAAGAAGCTGGAGAGACCGGCCCAGGTAAGGAAGTCAGTGGCCCTGACTTCGCTGTCCTGGGCTGGGGGCTTAGTATATCCTTTTCCTATTGGGTCCCATGCTTTTCCACTTCCTGTGCCTCTGGTGTCTATGTTTCCTCCAGTATTCAGTCTTCACACTTTACTGTGTTCCTCTCTTTACCTTTTAGCCTCCTAAGGATCTGGAAGCCCGAACTGGGGCTGGCCCTCTCGCACGTGGAGAGCGGAAGAAGAGTGTAGTTGAGAGCTCAGCCCCAGGAGCCAATAACCTGCAGGTTAACGCCCTAGTGGCTCGGCTGCCTCTGCTCCTTCCCCGGGCCCCTCGCTCGCTTATTCCACCAATCCCAGTCTCTCCACCTATTCTGGCCCCCAGGCTTTCTTCAGGTGCCCTGAAAGTGGCTACACTGCCTCTGTCTAGTAGGGCCGGGGCACCCTCAGCAGCTGTACCCATCATTAACATGATCTTACCAACTGTTCCTGCTTTGCCTGGACCTGGACCTGGGCCTGGGCCTGGGCCTGGGCGAGCTCCACCTGGGGGACTCACTCAGCCCCGGGGCACAGAGAACAGAGAGGTAGGCATAGGTGGTGACCCAGGACCACATGACAAGGGTGTCAAGAGGACAGCTGAAGTACCTGTGAGTGAGGCCAGTGGGCAGGATCCACCAGCTAAAGCAGCAAAGCAGGATATAGAGGATACAGCAAGTGATGCCAAAAGGAAACGGGGGCGCCCTCGAAAAAAGTCAGGTGGAAGTGGGGAAAGGAATTCTACCCCTCAGAAGTCAGCAGCTGCCATGGACTCTGCCCAGTCCTCAAGGTTACCATGGGAGACATGGGGCTTAGGAGGGGAAGGCAACTCAGCTGGAGGGGCAGAAAGGCCAGGGCCAATGGGAGAGGCTGAAAAGGGGGCAGTGCTTGCCCAGGGTCAGGAAGATGGTACTGTTTTCAAAGGAGGAAGGGGCCCCAGTTCCCGGCATACCAAAGAAGCAGAAGATAAAATTCCCTTGGTCCCCTCAAAAGTGAGTGTCATCAGAGGCAGCAGAAGCCAAAAGGAGGCTTTTCCTTTGGCAAAGGGAGAGGTAGGCACTGCACCACAGGGTAATAAAGACTTAAAGGAGCATGTGCTTCAAAATTCCTTATCCCAGGAGCATAAAGACCCCAAAGCAACACCCCCATGATATAGGTCTATGGGGAAGAGTGTTTATATCCCTACATTAACTTTGCCTAGTGGAGGCCCTTCTCTGCACTTGCTTCTCATTTGGCTATTCTTTTCCTAAAGAAGTCCATTCTCTTCTGTACAGACAGCTGAGTCATCCAGTCTACTTAGTACCTGGTTGCTGCCTCTGACCTTTTCAGCTTGATACCCTTGGCTTTAGTATAACCAATAAATCTGTAGTGACCTTACCTGTATTCCCTGTGCTATCCTGTGGGAAGGTAGGAATGGGCTATGATGAATGTATAGGTTAGGGATCTTTTGG